TCCCATTATGAAGAGAAGAGACAGAAGAAATAGAGACTTTTATGTGTGGAAAAAAAAATTGCAATAGAAAACAGAAATTTTAAAAACTTTTTCTTTCTATGTTTAGTTTTTTTTATCACTAACCTCTTTTGTAGTTTTTTTTTTTATCTAAACTCATCTCTAACATTATTAAAAATTGGGGGAAATACTTTTGTTGTTGTTGCAGAAGTATTTTCCTTTGCAATTGACTCAAAAAAGTTATTTTTTTTAAATGATGGACCCCATAGTGATTTTATGTCTGCGGGAAATAAAAAAAGTGTCTTGTTACATGAGAAGATACAAACCCTTAAAAATTATATTATTCTTCCCATTTTGCCTCAATGAACAATTAAAATATCATAGGGAAGATAATTGATTAAAAAAAAACACAAAGGATAAGTTAGAAAAGAAAGTAAATCAATAGGATTTTTTTAACTTTTCTATAATTCATTCTAAATGATCTTATATTGGTAAATAGTAATTTGGTTAGCAGAAGCTAGTAATGAATTGTAAATAATGACTAACAAATTATTACATTGGGTTTTAGTTGTTGAATTTTTTTTTCTTACATTGATTATTAGTTTTGAACTTTTATAACGAGTATCACTCTATTCTCTTGTGTTCTCATTCCGGTGACTAAATTCATGATTTTGATTGTTAATGAGAATAATGAAATTCACAAATAAATTTTTTTATAAAGCTTACAAAGGCCCACAAAAGGGCTCAAGCTAAGAGAGAATTAAGAAAAGATTTTTTAATTATATTAATCCTATTACAGTAGCAATGGATCATGAACTGGACTCCAACTTGCCTAAGGCTGGGTTTGGTAGAAGAGAAATTTTTTTTTACCGGAATTAAATAATTTCCGGGAATATGAATGGAATTTTTTTTTTAAGTAAGTTACTAAAAGGTGTTTGGTAAGCTAAATTTTTTCGGGAATGTTGAGTTAATTTTACTGATGTTTTGTGTTAATTTTCTATCCACATGGGAAGAAAATAATTCCACCCCTTCAATGGTAATCTTCCCCAACTATTTTACATAGAAAAACAAATGATAGGAAAAAAAATTTCCGGTCATATTTTTACTTCATCTCCTACCAAACATAGGCAAATAATTTTCCGCATCCCATTTTCTTAGGAAATTTTTTTTCACCTCCTACCAAACACCCCCTAAGAGACCCAACATTTCATTACTATCAAGTAACTCATTTATAAATAAATGGTTAAGCCAAAAAGGTATATACATTCTAAATCCTCTCTTTTAGTTGTCACTGTACACACATCACACCATTTGGCTATGTCATTATTACAATAGTGCATAGTGATCCACTGATCTATAAAGTATCTTTCTCATAGATACTTGAGAGATGACACCCAGATCCAATATTAATATATTAGTCATTGACTGGACATCTCTGTCTTCATGACACAACAAAATCATTATCAATTTTTTCTTTTAAAAAAAGCCAAGTGTCATGCTCTGGGGGAACCAAGAGGGATTTTTTTAATGTGATCCAGGAGCACAATATTATTTGATGGTCCTTTACCAAAAAAGAAAATTTTCTTTTCATTTATACCCTTTTTCTTCCCTCTAAATCCTCTCCCAATCCTTTTTTTTTCCTACTTTTGAAAAAGGAGCATAAGCTCCCTGCCTATAATAAACGAGCTCAACCAAGAGGGGGTTAGCATGAAGACCTTTTTCTGTGCTAGGGTGTATGGTACATCCCTCCACAAAAAAAAAAAGATAATAAAAAAAATTTGAATTGAAATAGAATAAAACTTTCTTTATAAAAAAAGTAGACGCGCCTGGTTGGGTGCTACGGAAGTAACAAATTTTTTTTTTATCTGTTAGTGTGGGCATCCGCTCCTCCGTCTTTCGCAATTGTGTCTTTCACATCTAATTTTGGTGGGAAGTAAATTTTAAATTATATGTGATTTCGCCAACCTTCATAAAATTATTTTTCTTTTATCTGTAGATTTAAATAAAAATAATTAATTTCGCCTTCTTCACAAAAATTAAAGAGTCTGCACTACCAAAGTTGTCTTGCCTACGTTGAATCCGAATTCAGCATTCAAAATCCAAGTAAGTAATTTTCACCATTGAAAATACAAAATCCGAAAATTAGATTCCAATTTTGGTTATAGAGGCTACAAAATGCTCGAATTTTTTAAACTAACTTTAGAAAATAAAAAATAGAACCACCAAATACATGGATTAATTGGTAAGTGATTGTTTTATCTTACCACTCAATTTTGAGAATTGTGTTTAAACTTAGTAGGGAGAACTTCATCGCCTATGCAGTCCTACCTGACTCAAATAGAACTAATTGAAGAATCGATAAACCAATGAATAATATATGGAAAATTGTTTTCTCCAACTGTAGGAGATAACTATCTCATATCACAGAGACATAAAAAGAAATGGCTACAATATTCTTTCTTTTTTATTTTGTTTTAACTTATGGGCTCCACATTTCTTGTTAGTATAGAAAAAAGAACTTCTCTCATGTTAAATGAGAGAAGTACTATCCTATATATATATATATGGGGTTTATTAATCTCATGTTACATGAGAGTACTATCTCATGTGGGTGATACAAATATGTAGGGTCCACAATTTAAAAAGAAAAGAAAAGATTGGCACAAAATTCTATGGGTGTATGACATGAGATAGATATCTTATGTAGCATGAGACTATCATTTCCCTAACAGAATACATTTATTAGAGTCAGATAACATTGCACAGAAACTCAAATATTTAATTACTTATTTAGTTATCCATCGTAGGAAAAAATTCCTTCACATCCTGCTTGTTGCTTCCAGGCCAAATTGGCTGCTTTCACCGACGCTTTTGATGGTAATCCAAAGATTTTGTTTTTTATTTTTATTTTTTTTAAAAAAATTCATCAGACGTACTTATCTTTTTTTTTCTGAGATCTTTATAAAAAAAAAGTATAACTTGTGGTGTGCTGATTCAGCATTTTGGGCGTCCTCTTTACAAACAATAGCAAGTAATTCAGTGATACTATTACGATAGGTTTCCCTTGTTAGTTTGTTACTTGGTTTGTTAGTTTGTTAATAGGTTTGTTCTATGTTTGTAATTTAGTTTTAGGTTGTTGATAGGTTTGTTCTATGTTTGTAATTTAGTTGCAACTCTTCCTTTATCTTAGGAATAGATTCCTACGTATGTGTATTATAGTTAGTTGCTGATAGATGTATTTAAATGACCAATACATGAATAGAAAGCTAAGATGTTCACTCACAACTTCCTTTAGATACCAACTTCTGAAAATTGATGTAAAGCCTACAAATAAAACATTGTTTCTCCTAAGTAGAACACCCTGAAACCAACGGACAAACAAACAGAATCAGCTAATAAAGTGTTAACTAATGGCCTCAAAAAGAGAGCTGGAGAACTTAAAGGCAAGTGGGTCGAGCAGCTCGACAGGGTACAAAAGAACTACCTACCCTAACACTCATGAAACCCCTGTAAGAGATTTTAGTTGAAATAAGAGAACCATCCTGGTGCAAAAACCATGCTCCCAAGGAGAAAAATGGAACAAATGATGATAGAAGAGTTCAATCTAATTGATGAATATAGAGGAAAGAATCATTTGAAAGACTTTGCCTCAAACTAGGAGCATCCTCTGCGTACAATAAGAAGGTCATACTTCGAAGCTTTGAAGAGGGAGACTTGGTCCTCCACCACAGATATTGGCAATCAAATTGCTCTGCAAGAGAAGCTTTTCCCAAATTGGGAAGGCCCCTACCGAGTGGTAAGTGGAATCGGTTTAGGTGCCTAAACCTTAGAAACCTTAGATGGAAAGTCAGATATTAAGAACATGGAACTTGGACAAACTGCACAAATACTGCAGTAGATGAAGAGGTTCCGTGGTAGAAAAAAATGAAAAATGAGAGAAAGAAAAAAGGAAGAGGAAAACAGAAGAAAAGAAAAAAGAAAGTAGAAAAACAAGCAACAAATTGTATATCGACCCGTACAACTTTATGCATAATATATTTAATATCTTTATCTTCTTGTTAATACTGCGAGCTTTCTTTAGACTGACTTACGATTAGAGATTTATGATTATATACTTATATCTCCACTCCTCCTTGGTATTTCACAATCTTAGTATATCTTTTAGATTACTTGTGTAGTTGTATTTGAATTATTAGTTATTGGTGGCTAGCTGAGCTTGCGAGTAATGCACTTGAATGGGTTGTCGTAGATGTGTTGAAGTAGGCATGTATCGAAACATGTAACAAAAACACAAAATCTCAAAGAAAAATCATTATCTTTTGATTTAAAAAAATAAAGAGCAATCACAAGTCTCCTTATCTTTTGCATATAATAGAAAGATAGGAGAGCGAAGTACTAAAAAGACAAATGCAAAGTTTGGCCTCATTTGCTATAATATCTCCGCAGCTTAGTAGCATTCTATGCTTTGGGAATATCTTTGCCAATTAGATCAAAATACTTACAAATCAGAGTCATTTAAATCAAGACAATATGTTAACTCTCGAATGAGATGTCAGACTTTATGTTAGACACTAGCGTCAAATGATCTCTTCTCTCCTAAAATTTAATTATATAATATTAATTTTTATCATGTTTACCATCTAATTCAAACTCAAACCAAATGCCAAATAAAAATCCAGTACAAGAAACAGACACATTTTGCAACGCAAGTACCAAATGTTTTGAAAAATATAAAATTTATAAACAAAATTTCTGGGCTACTACGAGCAGCAACTAAAACAGAAACACAATGGGTTACATTTTTCACTTCTCGAATGTACAGCTCATTGTTGTCTACAATGAAAATTGTACACCAGTGCATAGAAAACCCATCCCACTGCAGCTCGGCCCCAAAGACAATAAAATAATCGTGCAAACAAAAATTTTGTACTGTTATTTACAAAAAAAAAAAAAAAAAAAAAAAAAAAATTTTGTACTGCTAAAAACGAACAAGGTAGGTGCTCTCTTCACTACACTTTCAGCGTTTGACAAATCGACAATTGCTACAAAAAGTCCACAGACATCCTAAACGGCGGGTTCCCTGAGCTAGATTGATCCAACTTTACCCTTTTAAACTTGGATTTCTCGGTAGCAATTTCTTGGAAAAGATTCGGTCCACTAAAGCTGTGCTTGGAGCCCCTTATCTTCTTCCTCTTCCTCTTCCCCTTATCATATTCTTCATCCCTGTAAATTTAGAGGTGGAAAGATACAAATTTATAAATATGAAGTTATTCATTAGAATAGTCCAGTCACAGTCAGTGATGAAAAATCCTAAGCCTCCCCCCACCAAAATATCAAACATTGTGATTAACAGCTATAATAATATTTGGTAGATTGCAACTGGATGAAGAAGAGCAGATTTTAACAATGAACCTGGACAAAAACCTTTCCCGCATACACTAAAAAACTCCATTCCATTTTCATGTATAAACACATACCAATAATAGCCTAAAAAGTTTCCTAGGTCAAAAAGCGAATCTACAAGGCAACATATTATGTAAAGGCAATCATAACATCATTGTTTGGACATTAGAGAAGCCTAAAGTTGAATCTTAAGCTGTGATTATTTAACATAGAAATCCAGTACGTAGAAGAAAGTACTTTTTAGGTACAAATAAAGAGATTTATGTTTTTTATATTGTAGGAGATAAAATTATTTCATACACATACATAAAAGTGTTTGGAGCCATGTGAGAAGAAACAAGAGAAAAGAAAACATGGGTCCCACACACTTTTATGAGTGTAGGAGATAAAATTAACTCCTATAACATGAGAAAAACTAATCCCACAAATAAATCGTTGAAAATGATAACTTTTCATAACTCAAAAAAAAAAATACCATATTTCCTCTCCTTAAGAGAGAAAAACTCACTTTGAAACCATGAACTCAAGGAAAAATGTTTCTTCCAAGAGTCGGTCATGACAGAGGAAGGCCCAAACCAATATATTCCAAATTACTATAAATAAAAAAGAAGAGAGAAAGGAACAACATTTGGCTGAGCTCACCATTCATCTCCTACATATCCAATGCTGACAGTCTGGTCATTCTTTGACTCCAAGGACTGAGATGAATGTAATTCTATGTCATCCCAACTTGCAACTGCACCCAAATTAATAACAGAAATGTTATAAGTCAAGCATAAAGGTGCCAAGAGTTTAAAAGTACAGGAAAAAGGAGGGGAAGTGACTCAAGTATTATTTATGGGAATTATTTTTGTTATGTAACATAACATAAAAGCAAACTTCCTACTCTCACAAAAGGAAGAGAGAGGAGAGAGAATAGGAAAAAGAGAAAAATTTAAAGTGGGTCCCATATAAAATTTGTGTGTGTAGGAAGATGGTTTTATGTTATGTAACATAATAAAAATAATCCCCTAATTTTATTCATTCAAACACTAAAAATATTTGTCTGGTTTACTTGAAGCAGTTCAGTAATTCCTAATACCCTGATAACTATATTTGATTCAGTTAGGAGATCTCTAAAAAGAGCATTTTCATTCCACAATACCTATACAACAAAAATTAGAATTAAGAGCAACCCAGAACCATAGTTACCACCATCAATACCAACACCATTACCAGGTCCATCATGGCCACTACCACTATTGCTGTCACTACCCACTGGCCCCCATCATATAGCCTAGATAGACCCACTTTATAGTTACCAATCTCAAATGGCATCGTAGCAACCCCTAAACCACCATAGAGGGATCACAACTAACAGTATAGCCACTTCGGTGAAGTCCACATTATGTGATTAATTAGAGATAAATACAAAATCATTATGGGATTATGACCATTCTTCAATTCTTGTGAAGATTATATTATTACCCAAAACTCAAAAGATAAGTAAATGGTTTAAATTAAAAAAATTACCATATTAAGGAGCCAGAAGTTTGTCTACTACTATTCCCTACATTAGATTCTCTCATTACTTACATGCCACCCTTTTCTTGAATTTTCTTCCCACTCCAAATTAATACCACCCTTTTCTGGAATTCTCTTCCACTCATCCAATACCCATTAATTAATACCCCTCCACAATCAATCAGATAAAAAAATCACTCTCCATTAAACTCCGACTAGCGAGGCTGAGGTGAGGGCAATCCTTTAACACATCCTTACCCTTGCATAATTGAAAAGAGAATGTTTCCCGAAATTTGAACATGTGGCCTTTCAATCACAAACAAACAACTTTACAACTATTTCAGGCTCACCCTCTTTGAATAAATGAAATTGAGCTATGTTTATTTTTATTTTTATCTTTTTTCAACCCTTTCGTATTTTTATTTGGGTTCATCTACCACCGACCCCAATTAATTTGGATAAATGTGTGTTGATGTTGATTTGATCATATTCGAGTATATTATCATAGTACAAATCCAAAGGCAGCACATCCACATATATGCAACTCCACTTTGCACAGAACAAGAGCAGGATTAAACTACATGGATTTGGAACACAAATTTCACATATTATCCTAGACAAAAATGGGAGAGAAAATCAATAGAAACTTACCAACTGTCTCCTCCAGACCTCGGGTGAGCATACTCATTAAACTATTATGCATTTGATCTCTTTTACCATCTTGCAGACTATCAGCTTGTCTAGCTTCAAATTGGTCTACTACTGAACCACACCCAGATATATTTTCTAATTGCATGGCTGTTGCAAGAATGGCACAGTTTTGATTGATTCTCTTCCTAAATTCTTCAGCAGTATTTTCTACCGGAGATTCATTATTAGATTTAAAATTAACACCAGCTTTATAACCAGCCTTGGTTTCCCTACTGACACACAGGGAAACAACTGTAGTTGACACACAGGGAAATTCATCAACTTTTTCAGCTGTAGATGGCCCAACATCAGATGAGAAATCATGTTTATCCAACTTTCCTTTAATTGGATTCTTCAAACCGGACGTGCGACGTTTACTTCTTTTGTGATTCCTCTTCTTTCTAGGGCTTAGATCACTAAGAAAAGGAACGTTGAGCGGGCATGCATGCTTGATACCTGATACTTCAAAAACTTCTTTTTTGATTTTTTCATGCACTTTTGATTAAGACTCTCCATATTCAAAGATCCATTTACTGAGTCATGAAGAACCAGTCCTTGAGAACCAACAGCATTTTCACACACTATACCACCTGCTTTGTCACACACTGAACTAGTTGCAGAGGATCCAACCAAAAGTTTAAAATTTCGGTCAATACATCAAAACAATAAGTCTCAAAGCAATGGGCAACAGAGGGATAGTGTAGAAACCTGATGGTTAACGTTGTTCAGTTGAATAAGTGACGTTATGGAGCTAGTGCCGTTTGACATTGAATCTTGAGGTGCAGCAACAATTTTTTTCTAAAAGAGGATTCACAGATCAGTAATCAAGAAAACTAAAGTAGCATCAGTTTAGCACAATTAGGGTAGTGAGAGTACTTGGAATTATTTACCTCCAAGAATAAGATGTTCCATCATTTGCATGTTTACCGGTAGATATCTGGGGATTATTGAAGGTTGGCACAATAGCAAGAGAATTTTTCACGCCCTCTTTTGAAATTTCATTCTCATTGCACATATCAATTTTGCATCCAGATGGTGCAACAGAACTTTGTAGATTACTAGGGACAGTATAGTCTTT